TGCACACCGTTTACAGACTGTCAGCTAAGTACTCAGGCTTATCAAACATTCAAACATTGGTCTTTTTGGCGTTGTTTTCAACTTCTGTTTAGGATAGTCACCTGTAGAGGATGTTGTAGTGTGGCTAGGTCAAAAGCAAAGTCTCACAGTAGTGAGATTTACCTAGTGTAGAGATTATTCCGTTTTGATATCCAAACCAGCGAAGAAAGAAGCTTTCAGTGTTGCTGTAGCTTTCAGTGTATGTGCATACATTGTTATAGAAAGATGTCCTGGTTTCAGCAGGGATAGAGATAAGAATATAACTTTCTATATGCTACCATATCTGACATGTCAGTCTGTTTCATCAGACTGTTACAACCTTTTTCTCTGTATTTCCACTAATTTAGAGTACGTCTATGGTTTTTAACTGCACAGCTGCTGATTTATGAATTGTATGTACTCATCAAAAGTACTCCTTGCTATCTTGACTCTTCCCACTGAAGTCAAGGGCAGAATTTCTTGTGGGAGGAGAAGGCTAATGCTGAGTGATTTGAAAATCCTATGACCTTATGCATGTGATGTCAATGAGAATAGCAGTGAACAGCAAAAAGCAAGATTGTCTACTAATGGTAAGAATTAATTCTTGCATGTTTTGTGGTTTTTCTTCACATCTCTTTTGATGTCTTGCAACATAAAAAGTGATTCTAATAGCTACTTTTACAATACAAATGTACATGCAAAGAAAAACTCCACTTTCAGGACCAGTCTTTTCTCCCTCTGCCTGGAAGGAAAATGAGAGGTCAATTAAATTGTGTGCTAATACCTTTTTTATTTGACTAAATGGAAAAATAAAATGCAGGCAGAATTTCAAAAGACACAATCCTTTAGCAGGCCATGGAAAGAGAACAAAGGAAAGCAGCAGATAGAGAGGAAAGATCTCCAATGAACTAACCATTTTTGCTCTCCCTGTCTCTTCTGTGAAATTGTTTTTAATTGCTTCATAGCTTGGCTTTCTCTGCAGCTGTGCTATTACATTTGGGCTCCTTTATTCTAAAATTCTGTGGCATCTGTAGCAGAAACTGGCACTACAGTTTTTAGCGTTGGAATTACATTTGCTCCCATCTATCCAAGTGAGCAATACTGACTATGTCAGTACTGAAGTAATTGAGAGTTCTCAGAAGGCTCTTTAGCACTCTGCCTTATCTGTTATACTGCTCAAATCTTACATGGTCCTACCTAGACTTGGTATGTTGCCAGAGTCACAGATGTTCCAGCAACTGCTGTTTATTTTACTTAGTAATGGTTGTTCATAGATTTTAGAGCATCACTTATATGAGACTCTGTGTGCTTTAGAAATTATATTATCACCGTTATGTGTTGCTAGCATCATTGTCGTTATAAGTTTCAGTATCTACAGCCTCCAAATAATTACCAATAACTAATCCAACAAGTAATAAATCCAGTCCTTCATATTTAATTTATATTTGCACACCATTATAAGACGAACCTGACCAATATGAGTACACTGGCATCCTACCTGCTTTTTCCCCTATTTCCCAGCTGGAATGCATGTGTAGGTCATGAGGAATATCAGTGGCACCCTGTAAGAAATTTCATCATATACCTCATGCCTTTCTGTGTTTTTGTCTTGATTACTGAATAAACTGGTGTTTATAAGGAAAGGAATATAAAAAATGGAAAAGAGAAGACTTGAATTGGGCTGGTTACACTTTGGACTTACTTTCTTGGAAAATGAAGCTATTTCTGTTGTATTCTGAAGTCAAAGGATGAAATTCGTAGAATAATAATATGCTTCACATACTGGGTCTCTTGATATATGACATACCAGTAAACTACCAGTAAATAGTCAATACCCTATTAAGAAGTTAATTAATCATTTGGGAACTACTAAGGAGGAACACAAGGCATGTCAAATGAGAAGGTGAGTGCAGTCCTCTTCTATCAGATTCCTGTCTCTGCCAGTAGTCCGGTGCACTCCTCAAAATTGGAACAGAGCATAAAAAAGAAATCTTAAAGCTTTGAAACATTTAAAGCAAAAGCAAAAAAAACCTTTAAAACTCAGCAAAAACAACAGTTAACAAGTACTTTGGGTCGGAAGAGGGAAAAGATCCAGTAAGCAGTTTAGGTAACACTTCCAAGTGTCATCAAAGTAGAAAAATGAAATAACTAATTTTGTTTCCACCACTTAGATCAATGACTGTTGTGAGATACAGAAAAAAAAAAAAAAATACATGCATTCTCCATAGGGAGTTGGAGAAATGGTATTTTATTTTGCCATGAGGCTTTTGCAATGTGTTAAAAGTATACCAGTGTAGATGGATGTAGTGATCTAGTGAGGTAGTCAAAAACTTTCAGTAAAATCAGTTTATCACAGGATTCTGCAGTAGGTTTTTTAATAGATACCATGAGTGTTTAAGTACATATGCATGTGTAATACAGATGCAGGCGAACATGTATATCTATATAGTTTGCTGTAATGTCTGGGTTCACAACTTACGCTTCAGGTTTGCTTTTCATCTGTTATGGCGGGTCACGGTTTGCTCCCTCATTATGGTTTCTTCAGGCAATTACATAGCGGTTGCCAGATTTAGGCAATTGTAAAATGACTAAGAACTGATGCACGATGGTAATATGAATAATAATAACAACCATATCAATTAAGTTTTTTCAGATTTTGAGCTGTATTATGCAATTTGACAAATAAACAGATACAATGCAGTGCTGCTATTTCCATTCTAAGGTTAGGGTTTCTGCTTCCTTACAGCTGGGTTTTCATTCCTGTAAGAACAAGGCTAAGAATGCTGTGGAATGGATTCTGACTATACAGCTTTATTTGCAATGTCAGTAAGATCCCCCTAGGAAAGGAGACGATAGTGTCACTGATGCATCAGTACTTGCAAGAATAAAACATTTGAAAATATTTAGTCTTGCCTGTAGAGCAGTCCTTCCTACTCCAGGCCAAGGCCTGAGAAAGCTCCAGTCCTGCATTTTCATGGCAGGTTTTAATTTCTCATGTCAGCTCATGACTGTCCATATACACAAAGTTCTGAGTAGGTCCCTGTGTGTCCAGATATTGCTGTCGGTACTGATTATGGCAGTCGTCTTTGTCTTTCCTGTTTCATATCATCTGGGGATTAGGAAGCTATCAGCTCTTTATTTACGGGAATATTACGGAACAATATAAACCATATATTGTTATGTTAGTAAGCACCATGTAAATGAATAGATAATAAACACTGTGCTGAGACTGTTTGGATAGATACTGCCAAAATGGTCCCAGCCAAGCACTGTTAGTCATTAATTTTTCCTTCTCTTCCTTTTTGTAGGCTGATTTCCTGTAAAACTTTTCCATTTCCATTACAGATTTTTATTGTTTAGCATATTTTGCTCATATATTCAACATACATTAACGTGTTTATGTAAGAATAGGTCCTTGCTGATAATCAACAAGCTACCATATATAAAAAATATACTAAATCCCTGGTATTGGAGTATTTGTTTGCCTCTGAGGACTCCTGATTTCTCTGACTTTATTCCACCACTCAGTGCAAGTTGGGGTAGCATCTTGCTTCTCCAACCCAGGAGCATCTGGCCAGGTTCCACCTGGTCCTTGTCACAGGCACTCAGGAACAAATTATAAGGATCTCTTATCTCAAGATACTTGATTTCCCTGTCTCTCATGCTCTAGCAATGGATGTATTGCTCCTGATTACTCCCATTCAAAAGGAGTCAAAAGCAAAAGCAAGGCTGGCTCCTGAGTTTGAGACTCTCATGTGGTGGAGTAAAGAACTAGATTCTGATTCCTGTGTATGTTTTTCTGTGCATTGTAGGAAACACTCTTTTAATAAATCAGAAATATTGAATATAGTTACATAATTTCTGAGATTATTCTCTTGATATTGAAATAGAAATGCAAGATTGTTAATTTGCTTGCTGTAGAAATGTTCAATTCAACGTAATAAATGTGCTTCCTTTTTAATTAGCAGAATTAGTACTTTCAAGAAGACATCAATTTAGGCTCATACAATTTCAACAGGGATAACATTTTTGGGGTAGACTTATTAAAGCAGATAGCGTCTTTGGAGGGAAAAAAGATCTGAAGATCAGGTTTGCTTCAGATAAGCACCTAATTGTTCAGATGCATTTCTGAAGTTTAACAAAGTAATTGTGTAACAGGTAAAAATCTTGTGAGACCTTATGCTTTTACTAGGATAACATTTTTTAAGCAGTCAGAAGAGCAGGTGTGTATGAAACATGTATCTTTTCATTTCAGAGCTTCCAGAGCAATTTTATTCTTCAACTTCAGAGGGAGTATTCAGTGCCTAATAGAGACATAATACTGCCTTTTTTTAAAATTACCCTAACCGGCTCTCATGTCCTTAGCAGGGATGTCATGTTTAGGAAAACCGTGATTCCCTCAGGACTGATTTCTCATTTACTACTTCAAAAAATTATATGTCTCAAGGGAGCTTCTAAAGGCGTCTTCAACTCTTTTTCCTTCTAGTCTCATTTGTTTTGGTATTATGAATCCTGCAACTCCCTAATGTATCATGTGAGGTTGCTGAAGTACATGCTCTTGCTGCAGCTGAAATGTGAAGGAAGGAATACTTGTTTAGGGATTACTACTGCCCCTTGCTCAGATGTTCCAGACATTTCAATGCAGGCTTTACATCCAGATTTTCTTGTTTATCTGGCAGTTCATTGTTTAAGACGAGCCTGTCAAAATAGGTTAAATATTCTTTGGGAAACATGGTCACATCTTTGAGACACCAGAAATATGTTTAATACAAAAAGATTGGCTTGATAAAAGAAACATGATAAACTTGCATCCCCCAAAATACTTTTCTGCTGTTCCATGTAGATTTCTAAGAGCATCAGTATGCAATGCAAATCTCATGGCAATAAATTTCTGGAAAAGGCACAGAGAGACACCAGCAAAGCAGTGAAAATGATTGCTGATGATTTGTTCTAACTAGTTGACCTTGTGACATCTCCCCCAGATATATGACCAAGATGGGACACTGCAGCACTTTATTGATGGTGGAGAACCCAGTAAGTCGAGCTGGATGAGGTATATCCGATGTGCAAGGCACTGCGGGGAACAGAACTTAACAGTGGTTCAGTACAGGTAAAGTACATTTTGATTTACTCAATGCAACAAAATGAAAATGTTTTTAGTGAAAAGTCAGGCTTTAACTCTCACCAGTACTATTGCCTTTGATTGCAAAGACAGTAGCAGGGCTTTCGTGAACGTGCTTATTCGGGGCATTAGAAAAGCTGCAGAATGTAGTGAGGATGGGTTTAATTTTGGTTGCTCTGAGCTGAGGCCATTGTAGTAAGCATGCTAGACCTGGAGCTCCTGGGAGCAAGTACAGCCCTCTGTCACTCCTGTGACCACAACACTGCACAGAGCCCTCTGCATGTTTTCAAACGGTCCGATCAGCAGCAAGCCAACACAAGAAATCTTCCGCCCTTAATAGAGACGCATGTGCTAGAGGAAGGGGAAGAATGGCAGGAGAGGATTTTTGAACCCAAAGGCTTTCTGACAGTCAGTCATGAGATGTGTATACACCTAGAGTTTATATGTTGAGTGCACCTGCTAGCCAAGATTGCTAGTGCTTGTGCCTCTTACATCGCTGGCTAGAGAAGGTCAAAATGTGAAGAAAAATGTAAAGAAATTATGGTGCATTTTACTTTGTACTCACGAACAGATCCAGAAAATCCAGACAACGCATTACATAAATACATGATCTCAACTATAAACAAACCTTTTGTCTCAGAATCAGAAGCAACTGCTTAGCCTTGTTAAACGTGGTAGGAAGCACATCAAAGAATGCCCTGGGCTTGCCAGTTGCAGTGAGCAATACCGATTTTGGCTGGTCACTTTAGAGAATGGAGTTTCTTTTCTTCAGGAAGAATCTTAAACTTATTTAATGTACCTTTAAAATTAAAAATAAAACATACAAAAGCAAGCTAAAATGAAATATATATAAAGTTTGATTATCCCATAGGGTTCCAATTTAACAATGGTAAAATTGTTCAATTGCATTTTCAGCTTTTTTATTCTCTGGCCAGTTGACTAAATAATGCCGCAGTTAAAAAAATAACAATCCTATTTATACATTACAAATCTTCTATTATACCCTTAAATATCTGATATCTATAGCTAAAATCCCATTGGATTTTAAATAAACACATTGGATAATGCATGAAGATTGCTGTAATGAAAGAGTATTTTTGTAGGTATCTTGTGAACTATTTCTCAGTGTGGTAGAGTGTGTGTGCACGTGTATATATATGTGTATAAAAAATAAGGAAAAAAAATGCATACATATATATAGATGACAAACCTAAATGAAAAGTGAGCATGAGAAAGTCATTACACATCTGTCAATATTAAGTGGATTTTACAACTCTCCTTTCATGATGGAGTTTTTACTTAGAGTTCCCTCTGTTGATCTGTTTTCGATTACTTCAGATCTTTATAAAATGAACTACAAAAACACAATTTAAAAAACTGGCATCCATCACCAGTGACTGCATCCAAGTGTAAGAAAATAGAAAAGTTGGACACTGAAAAACCAGCTTAATTTTTATTGTACATGGACGTCCTCCTCACAGAAAGTCAGCTGGTTTAAATTCATTCTGTTATGATTTGTAATATCTAAATGGAATTTTCTTCAAAGTGCTCTTGATTGATTGACCCTTAGCTGAACGTTTTGTTTTTATTTTGAGGCTGACAATAATGTTTGTTGGCATGTGTTCTGCTTCAACTGCGTTGGGACGCCATGAAGCTATCTTTATGAGTCATCCAACCACAATACTAAATACATGTCAGCAAAGGAAATATTATCCAAAAAGGGAAAAATCCCTTTGATGTACTTCAGCATGCAGAGATTTCTGCGAGTTTTGGAAGCTCTGCACGCTTGTAAGGGACGGTGTACACTTACACTTTTTTTTCTCTGCCTACTCCAAGCCTCACAGACCACCCATTGCTCAAAAACAGTTCTGCTCTTTCAGCGGCAAAGTGTGTCATTTGGTTTTAGCACATTCATTTGCCGGGCTGCTGTGTTTATGTTAAGGGAAGCCAAACTGAGAGATGAAATGTTACAAGGGTGAAGTACAAAGTAGACTCAATTTTTCTCAAGTTAGGAGATGCTGGTAATTTATAGCGTGGCTCCGATTTTCATTTTTATGTAACAGTGGAAAGAATTAACAAAATGCACAGCTCTGGGAAAAAAGAGAGGGAGAAGAGGAGAGGAGGATGAGGATGAGGAGGAGAGGGGGAGACACAAAGGGGAGAGTTTTTGTCAGATATTCATAGAAGGGTAGGAAAACCGTTCTGCTTAGCTAGCAGTGCCCTCCTGAGACAGGGTGGCAGTAAGTGAGGAAAATAACAAGATAAATGAAATTTTTGCAGCTGCTAGTAAAATATTGAGAATCTGCACTTTTTTATTGATCTTTATGATCCTGTTGCCAAGAGCCACTTTGCGGTGACAAAATATGTTGACAAGTGCATATCTCACTGCCATGAAAAATGTGGTAAAGGATTCTCCTTATGTCTGCAGTGTTATACAAGGAACAAATTGCATTGCTACAGCCAATTCTTTACAGAAAGTCTAAATTTAAGGCCTACCAACCCTAAACACTTTTATCTTGAACTTCAGGCTAATGTTTGTAGCAATTCTTCACTCAGAAAGCCAGTTGAGGCCTAACTTTTTTTTTTGTCTATAGATGTTTTTCTGCCTTACATAAGCTGTTAGAAAAAATGATCATTTCTCGGTACTTTGACTGTATCATTTTGGTATGTAATCCTTCAGCAAGAGTGGAGTGTTCTTCTTGTATATATTGAATTTCTATCCATCTCACAGGAGTGTGTTTTACTGTTCCATATGAAACCTAAGGGGAAAGCCACTACAAACTGATAACATTTTTATTTTATCTTGTGCATGTTTCTAATCTTATACAGTTTTTGCCCCCATGTAAATCTCTGAACTGTAGAAGTATCACTCTGAAGCTATTCACATCAGTGCAAGATCGGAATAACGCTCTTGTTTTTATGGTAGAGACTCTAGGATTTTTCCTTTTTTTCCCCCCTCAGCTCCCATACCAGTGGTCTAGGAATATCCACAGTCTTTTCCCACAGAGAGATGTGATAAGATATCACATTTACAGTAACACTAATTTATACTTACTGAAGAATCATCAGCGTTAACCTCATGTTCCATGCGGGGGAGATTTTTGTGATTGTATGTTCAGATTAACCCCATTTTTTTATTTCCCTGTCTATTTTACTCAACAATCCAAGATCTCTCTTTTTGGTGGTATATTACTGTAATGAAAGGCCACATCATGCTACTTCAAACCTCTTGCTACAAGCATTGAAAGAATTGTTGTCTATTTACTCCTAAAATATGTTAACTTTAGCTTAGATGACAAATGCAAAGCTGTTTAAATGGCTGAAGTTACTGAACTGTGTTCACCACTCTGATGCTTGTACTGTGTTAGCAAAATGCAGCATTTCTAAAATTACTTTAAAAGGGACTTTGCAAGAAAATATCAGTCTTTTCATAAAATTTTGGTGTTGTAAAATCTTAGTGTTTAAAATATGCTAGGTGCAAAATGCCTGTAAGCTCTTTGTTACCCCATGCTACGGGAATAAATTTCTTCCCTGATGGTAGATTTGGTTTTAAAATAATCAGTAAGTTATTAATTTAGTTATCTGCAGAAATGCTTCCAAAACAATGGATTTCTACTGTAATACTGTGTATGATAAGAGGAGAATGCTCTATTCCTAAATTAGGCATTTTTTTCTTTTTCTCTTAATCAGGTCAAATATATTCTACCGGGCTTGTATAGATATCCCCAGGGGCACCGAGCTGTTGGTGTGGTACAATGATAGCTACACATCTTTCTTTGGAATCCCTCTCCAGTGCATTGCACAAGATGAAAATTGTAAGTTCCTCCTCGCATTTCTACCTGTGTAAGCCAGAATTCCTGTTTCATACCTAATCAGCTATATTCCTAGAGTATTTTAAGACATACTAAATTAAAGAGGTTATATATTTAAGGTAGCTTGATGTGTACAAAATAAAACCCTGAAGCTGGTACACTTAAACTGTGCAAAGTCATGGTATGGTTGCCTAAATAAACAAAGGTGTTTGAAAGTGTGCAGGTATGTGCAATTAAAGAGCAGATTTCCCACCATGGCAGCCCCACATAGCTTGGTAGCGTGTAGGATCACTTCCTTATAAGTGATTCATTCCTAGTCTATTCTTAACCGATTTGCTTGGCCCTCTCCATTGTTATCAGACCTATCACAAGAGACTGTCTTGCCAAAACAGTAATGCATAGCAGGTCTGAGGCCTCTGTTAGTGACTCTTCGTTCTGTTACCACTGAGTATGTTGAGAAAAGCTTTGTCTGACTGATGGTTGAGATGAGATCCTTGTGGTTAAAATAAAAAAGCCAGCTTCTCTAAATACAGACTGAATGTAAGTAGTCTGAAATGACAATGAACCTCCATTCCAACCTGGCCATCCCCATTTCCATCCATTCTTCTACCCCTTCTCAATATTTTAGTTTGCTAGGAGTCATCACAAAATTAAGTGTGTAACTTACAATGCAGACCCAGTGCAGACTAGTGCTGGATACCTTTGTCTGTAACGGGAATGGATGATCCAAGCACGCCCTTCGGTTTCACTGGTTGTGTGTGGAACTTGATTAGAGCTTGCATCAAAGACCTCTCTTCCATTTTGACAGCTATATGTATCTACGTGGTGGAAGAAACCAATAATGGATGCCTGATTGACTTTGGTCTAAAGTAACCCTGTGGCTGGCCACGCTTAATCAATTGCATAGATGTATTTTTTTGGTCAAGTACTTGATACTTAAACAGCAATGCTAGGCTGAACTTGTGTCTCATAGCAACTTAAATACTGAACCATGCAGCAATAAAACAGCAAGATAGCAGGGATTAAACTGTCAAAAAACCCCATCCTTTTTCATCCTGAGTTTTCAAATCTGTTGAGCTTCAGAAAAGTTTAAAAGAAGTTTAATTACTAGCAGTAATGTTTGCTGATAAAACTCATGCTCTGCAGTGTACAATATAGAAATATTATTTTTTCTTTCATGAACTGAAGCTTACAAAACCTTTATTTGAAAAGCAAAGCATTATGGTTAAAATCTCTAAATATTGTCACTTGCTATTTTGCTGTGAGAGAAACCAGAGTTTCATCCACAGAGACTGACATGAGTAGATGAAGTTCATCTCTGAGCATGAAGCCAGCTGCAGGCTCGTATATGACCTAAGTGCCACTTAAGCCCTCAGAGTAGACCTTCTGCTTATCTTCTGCACAGGGGTATTTTTACCCAGTACAAACTCTGCCTATATTCCTTAGGTCTTTAATATACTGATCTTATTGCTTCTGTGGACTTTTATGAGTACAGTTTAAAAAAAAAAAAAGTGGTCTGCTTCTTGTGTGAGAATGTTGGGGCAAAATGAAAGTATACAAATTGCCCCTTGTACTGAAGAGAGGCATAGAATACGTATTACATGTCTGGAAACTGGTGATAGACAGCCCCATGGATGTAGCTCTACTTAGAAATCAGGTCCTCAGATGCTCCAGAAAAGACTAGCTTAGGAAGGACCTCAACTTAAGTAAATTAAATAGTATGCAATATTATAATATTGGAGTTATTACAATTGCTGGAAGCTATTAGAAAATAACTCTGTGAAGTAACTGGCATTATTTAAGGTATTACCAAAACATTAGTTTGCAGTACATTTTTATTGTATACTAAATAATGTTGGATGATTCCAGCTCACAACTGAAATTTAGTTCTCATATTTGCTCTTAGAAACCTATCATCATGACTTACCTAAACAGAGTTGCAGTTTCTAATCACCTGTTTAGTAGGTGCTATGTACCTACATGTGGATATATACATATAAACACATTGTGACAGTAACAAAATGTATGAACACGTGTACTTGATACTTAAACAAAAGAACATATGTAGACTTAGACATATGCATACAGCGTATTTAATTTAAAAATCTCCATTAAAATATTATCTCATGAGGTTGAGCGTGCCAAAATTAGAAAGCATGAGAAGGTACTGGGCCCAGGTGGCCTAAATTATGTTTCTTTTTGCATTATGGTACAATCTTTCATTAGCTGACCCCAGTTTTCCATAGGACCCTTGCTTCATTCACTGCATGATCTAGATGGTACTCAAGGAGTGAGGCAGCTGTTCCAGTTTCTTCTATATGTTTGACCTCCTGCCTTCCTTATCATGCAACATCCAAATTCAGCACTAAATCACTTCTTTGTGAGAACAGCATACTGCATTTGTTGCTGAAATATCTGAGTGCCTCGTAAGCCATAGTCAATTGATGATCATAAGACCTTCATGGGACTAGAAATAATTTTTGTTCCTATTTTGTAGGTGGGAAATTGATGCACAAAGATACCTCTGCCTATACTTTGCATTGTCTCATGGTGATCTAACTGCTATTAGCCTTAATCATACGAGTCATGGTGAAGTCACTGGCTTTGTATTGTATTGGCTGTGTGACTATTTGTGAGATGTAATAGCATAATATCCTTAGTGGCTGCCCTTTAAGAGGATATGGGAACTATTGCTGCAGTAGGTATTTAAGCCCTGTTGTATCTCAAGGAGTGTCTGAGCAAGGATTTTTTTCCCCATACTCTCAAAATTCATGCTTGTCTGTGATATAGCAATTGGACATGCTGACTGCAACATGCAGAGTCAGGGTATCACAAGTGCAGCAGCGTTTTCTTTCAGATGACAATCCCATTGTGTAATAAATGTATATCACAGTCAGGCTTCTCTGAGTCCTTTCAGTCTCAGACACCCCTTTGCATGAGTTTTCATTTCAGTGTCACAGAATGAGCATCATCCATTCAGATCACTGTCTCATTCAAGCCCATTTTTTTTTGTGCATTGTTAAAATAAAGTTGTTTAATTCTAGTGTTCACGAAAATGGATGTTGGTATTTTTTTTGGTGTCTCCCAACAGTGTATTAGTTTTAAAAAGGCATAAAAAGGATCTTATTTACTTTTCTTGTTTTCTCCCAGTGAATGTCCCTTCGACTGTAATGGAGGCCATGTCCAGACAAGACACCCTACAGCCATTTAATAAAAGTAGCAAACTATCCCCTGCCACTCCACAGCGATCCATAGTATTTCCACAGACTCCGTGTAGCAGAAATTTTTCTCTCCTGGATAAGTCTGGGCCCATCGAGTCAGGATTTAACCAGATCAGTGTCAAAAACCAACGAGTTCTTGCAAGCCCAACTTCAACAAGCCAACTAAATTCTGAGTTCAGTGACTGGCATCTTTGGAAATGTGGGCAATGCTTTAAGACTTTCACCCAGCGGATCCTCTTACAGATGCATGTGTGTACGCAGAACCCTGACAGGTAAAGCCCAGGCTCTCTTTATTTCTGTATCTACTGATAGCCAGATCCACTGCTTTCTTCTTTTATCAAGCTGTTATCATTTCCAAAACCAAACCATTATTAGGAGGAGCCTGTACGACATAATTCATCTGCAGCTGTGTGAAGTAAGCTGATAAAAAACATTGCTTGACTTCACTATTTGTAAAAACATTTGGTGCCTAAATGTGCAGATAAAAGGAAATAGCTAAGGATATAATCTTGTTTTCAGAATGGTTTGGTACATCTGATGGAGGCAACAAAATAGAAGGAAAATTTATGAATATCATAGATGGAAAAATGAGGTCAAGATAATTAAAAGTCTCTCTGTCTTCCAAAGATAATCTAACTTGCTGCTCAGTGGCTGTCACAGTCATTTCAGGGTTCACCTATAGTGTGCAATGTGTATGAACTTAATTAAGTACTAAGAGGTAATGAATTGGAATTTTTTGCTTAGTACTATTTTTCTTCAGAGCATGCAAACCCATAAATCGTGCAAAGCTGTCAAAAGGAAATACCTACTCCACTAGTGATGTGGAGGAAAACAGATGCCACTTATTCAATAAACTAATATCCACACAGAAGAAAAATGTTGACTAGATACCTCAGAGTCAAAGTTGGTTTGAAAGTTTGTCAATACAGAATTTTATGGCCGTGAACTGAGGATGAAATTTAGCTGAACAAGTGAATTAAAATTTCAGGTACACTGACCGGTGGCACAGTAAATATAATGGAACCATTATTTATGAATCAAAGTTGGTTTATTTGACAATTTTGATAGCTGGCAGGACAAAAGACAAAGATCAAATTAATTCAATAAAAAAAGGCTGCCCATGTTTTGTCTCTTCTTCAGCTGTGAAGAAGGTTTGAGCAGAACAGCTGAATCCCTGGAAGCTTGTTCTAAAAGCAGCATTTAATTGTGAATTACGTTTAATCAAAACACTACCAAAAAATAGTCAACAGTGAGTCTGTGTGTGTGTTTGTATGCATGTCTGTGTCTCTTTGTGTACGTGGTTATCTACGTGTACACATATTCTTGTGTGATTCTGTGGGTGTGGGGATACTGGAGCATAAATCCAGTTTTCCAGGAAGAAATGTCAAACACGATAGGGGCAAACTAGGTTCCATGCAAAGCTTCATAGAATTTAAAGAGTTGATAATACTGTGAATGCAAACAAGCCCTTTCAACATTTTCTGAATTTTATGCGGGCCTTAGCAGAAACAAACGCCATGCTAAGGAAGCTGTAGGACACAACTGCCAATTTAAGTGCCACAATGTAGAATATAGGTCCCGAAAGGTCTATTCTCCTAAGTTTCATGGACTCTTATGTTTCCAGTATTAAAGTATCCTAAGCATACTGTAAAGCATAAAATGCTGTGTCAGGGAGTCTAGAAGAGATACGTTGTGAGCCACCCCCACATACTTTTTCAGTGATTCATCCAACCAGATGTGATGCCTAGATTTCATCCTTTCCTTCACTTGAACCTGTCTTCCTTTATGAAGAACCAAGTTGCAGATAATAGTTAATGCAAGAAGAGTCTCTCCTAATGGGGCTGTTCTGCACTCTAAGGGATAGTTAAATATTCATTTTGCCAGAGAGAGAAAATGAGGATAAGTCTATCCTACAATTAGGTCTGTCATCTTGGAGGTGAGAGATTTGATCTTTTAATTTTTATTTATTTTTATTTATTTTCTTCTAAGTATCTTGTGTCAAATATTGCCTGAAACACAGGCTGGATTTTAAGTCTTCCCACTTAGAGGTGAACACCCTTATTAGTAGGTTACTGATTTGTGACGTCTTACTGTTTTATCTCTCCTGTGCCTACCTAATTTGTCCATGCAGAACAGCTTCAGCAAGAAAGTGTAGAGCATTTTTAGCTCAGAATACCCTACAGCACAGTAGGAAAATTATCTCGATCAGAAGACAAGTTGGCTCCCCCAGGAGCAAAGAGAGCAAAGGGTGATTAGAGAAAGGACTCAGCAGATTTGGGGAGGCCTGGGGTGGAGAGGAGGTAAGTAAAGACTCTGAATGTTGAATCCCAGAAGCTTTCAGGAAGATTCGAAACATAATAGCTAACGCCTTTTTCTCAATATTGATACTGGCTAATTTAGCCGATTTCTTCTTTGGCTTGTTGGGTTTTGTGAATCCTGTTCTTAAGAAACTTTTTCTGTTGTGTTATATAGAAAGCATAAAACCTAAATGAGGTTGCAAGATACACTTAGGATCAATCTGTTGCATAAATACTAGATACTGCAGTGCTCTGTTCTGTGACAGCTGTGTTCCCTGTGTACTGAAAAATGGCTTACATCTCTATGTTTTCATTAAATAAATTGTGCAGACTCCTTGTGGAGGCCAGTTTTGTAATGCCTTCTTTGTTCCCGCAAGGTGTGCCATCAACATAACTGCTGTAAAAGCATTTCCCGATAGGTTGTCTTTAGAGCGTTGTGTGGGACGTCAGTCACATGAATCTGTTTAAGCTCACTGCAGTTCGTTCAGTGTTTGAAATTACCAGAATAATAGTTACTGCAAATCGTAACTACCCTAGGATCTGGGTTCTCATACCCCCGGTTAGAAATCATTACAGTTTGAGCTTACATCACAGGCAGCTTTTTGTCTTTTAGCAGGTACCAGTAGACCATCTATTTAGTGATACAGTGGCTAGAAAAGAGTTGTCTTTGGTTTCTTAAACATATTGCATTTCTCCAGATGAAAAATTCCTAAAGTGTTGTACAAAATTTCCTGAAGACAAGAAAATAAGGCGTGATTTGTGAAAGAATACCTGCCTGCCAGCCTGAGGTACTGGGTGCAACTCTCTGGTTTGTATTTTCTCAATGATAACTGCAGCACCACTCTGGCTGATAAACAGCTCCGCATTTATTGTCAGCAATTGTGAGCACACCAGCCACTATAACTTTGGTGTGACTGAAGCAGCAGGGGCTGTATTATCTAGGAAATTACTTTAGACTACCTCTTCTGCCTTTGTATTTGTTTTTCAACAACGCTGATTACCTACAGCATGAGGTGCAGGGAAAACATCTTTGAATCTATACAGTAGTCCAATTAATGGACTGAAATTAGAGAAAAGCAGACTACTTGGGGCTTGAGAAATTAAAAAAAAGAAATTACTTTAAAGACATTTAGATTCAGAAAACATCTGAATGAGAGCAGACATTAAAAAAGGCCAAAATATACTTAATTCTGTTAGGCAGTAAGAAAAAAATGGTCCTATTTAACAGGCAGATAATTTAATAAATAAAAATAAATTTAAAAAATCATTAATCGAAAATAGGGAGAATTATTGAATTAGTAATCTACTGTGTTTGTTGCTTTAGATTAAGATTAGGATTTTAATTTAAATTAAAATTAACATTAACTTTAAATTATTTACTGGTTTACTTATAATTTACTTCTCCCTTTCCACCAAGATTTTTTTTAGCTTGTTATATTTTGTGAGGCTTCTCTTCGAACTTAATCGTAATTGGGGTTGGAGTGGGTGTGGGAGGCGAAGATTTAAATCCATCAAGGTTTGAATTGTGGGATTTTCTGAGCCTTTGGGACCTTTTTTAAGCCTTGCCCAGACAGAAGCAGTTTGAGCAACTGTTTCTTGAAGCAGGAGTCAGAAATCTGTTTTCTCTTCTGTTCTGGTTTTGGTTTGGTTTTTTTTCCTCCCCCTGCTGCAGAAATTCCCAACAATCCTATTTGGGGGGTGAGGTGGGGGTGGTGTCCAGAAAGGGGTAACCAAAAGACTTTGATCACAGTGCATCATTTTTAAAGCAATATTTTTAATTTTCTTTTTTTTTTTTAAACAGCAACCACTTTTCTGATAATGACACAGTCTCTTTTAATGACATCTTTCTTCTTTCTCACTATGACCACCAGATTCAGGATGTACTGGTGTTGAGGGAGGGCAGGTGGCTGCAGTTCCCAAGAGCTGTCTGTGGCACATTTTCATATACAACATGTACATCTGTGTGATATATATTCTCATTGATTGCCATGTATTTAAGCTGATAATTTGAGGGAAACCCCACTCTATAAGTGTGTCCGTGGCTGACAGATTGTGGATATTATCTGGCCCTTGCAATTCTTGTTTACTCAAAAGATATTATCATACCCATGTTTTGCTGTAGCACCTCTATATTGAATTGTGGGGTTTTTTTTAAAAACAGGAGCTTGAAGTCTGAAGTTGCCAATTTAATAGATCCTTTTCTCTAAGATCATGGCTCAGCCCATTTTGTGTTTATCTTTTTCTTTATAGGTTCTGTGTCTTTGACCTTTATGTTCTCCCCAAGTCCATTAATCAATTTAAACCTCTCCCAGAACAGACCTAAAAAGAGTGATGTTGTGAGCAAGGGTTGTCTATTTCTGTTTATAGAGTGGCTATGGAATATTGCTCAATTAAAGTAAACACCATGCTGAATTTAATGCTTGTTCTTGCATAATCTTTTCACAAAGGTTTGCAAACTCCCAGAACTCATAGTTGATAACAACAAAGGGTGTACAGAGCAGCACCTCTCCCTGACAGCTTCAGAAGTTTGAAAACACTTCAAGTGCACTAACTTTCTGCTTTTGCTAGTTCCTCCCCAAACATTTGTAAGAGATGAACCCAGAACTCCCAACAGGTCCAGCTCTGCCATCCCCACTGCTGCATGGTACCCAAAGTGTTCCCCATCCCCTGCACAAAGCATGAGCTTTGGTGAGGTTCAATAAGCCTCATAGGGGAACATGGGTTTTGTACTGGTCCTATACATGGTGGTGTTTCACTCAGACAAAATCAGCTACAGAAGTGAGAAAACTGTAAGATGGGAAAAGACATCACAAACCAGCAAAATCATTCAAGAGATCGTCTAAATTAGGGAGCAAAAAGTATCCTTGACTGGTTTAATTTTGAAAATGTAACTTGAAAAACTTGGTAAAGTTCAAAATCTAAATAACTACAAAACCTGAAAACTATTATGTTACAGTTACTCCTTTCTGAATTTCACTTTAAATGGCCTGTGTTCCTATAGTGGGCCATCATATAGTCAGGGACTGTAAGATTAGGGTCTCTAGAAAAAGCTGGTGGACTCTACATGATAGTAAAGCTAGATATAACTGATTGATGGTGCATGGGGTTAATGGCAACAGTGTAATTTTTCTGACAGGAGAATTTGCTTCTAGGTAAGCAGATTTCCTTCCTTTAAGCTCAGACAGGAAGACAGAGAACTAGAAAAATATGTAACTGGGTGTTTAATGAAAAACATTAGAACTGCTTTTGATGGCTGTCAGCACATCATTCTCAACTGCACATTGCACATAGCTGTTATTAAATGTAACTTAAAAACACTATATGAGAAGATTTTGATCAGGCTTGATTTACATCTGGAAGGGCCTACAAGATCCTTTGTAGAAAATGCAATGATGAAGACATTCAAAACTATGTTGTTTCTGGTACATGATAGCTGGAGAACAAATTTTTATAGAAAAATATGTTTCTTCAGATAGTCAGCATGTACTTTGAGGCCCTGGTACACCTGTTTCATCAAACTGATTACTTTCATGCTCGCAAATTTGTCTGTACATCTGCAAAGGAATATTTTAGTTATGTAGGCTTTCACATATGAAGTGACTGACATCCATTTTGTTTGTAGATTAATTTTCTGGAGCATCAACACACATCTGGTCTGTGACACAGCTAGGCTTATATTCACAAAGATACCTCGAAGCTTAAGAAGGTACAATATGTTTTTGGTTATTATAGTGGAAACGAGTTTTTCTGGGCTGGGACTGCATTCAGTCTAGCAGCACATCTTTGAAAATACAGCCTATGAAGACCACCGTTTTTGTCACTATGTCCCTGGTCCTTCTGTCTGCAAACCTCTGCTATGAAGAGGTCACCGTCTTAATTCATTGTCCCAGTGCAGACCAAAGTGATGGCAGAAGACATAACTGCTACATCAAAGACAGCCCTGCTCTGCCTGTGTCAATGTACTCACTGAACCGAGCATTGCTCATGTTCAGTCCTTCTGCACCACTTTCATTTTTTTCTAAAAACAACGTATTGATTTTATTTTCTGCCAAGAAAAATTTCTGAGCACAGTAAAAGGGTTACCAGAGAACAAAATGATAACTTTTATACTTATTGAATTACTTTTTTTTCTCTAGGAAAAAAATAGTAGTATCCAAAAGTTGTCAAAATGTGGCATATTTGAATCTGCAATTGTGCAGATCAGATACAGCATTTTTAAATTGTTACAGTGTTTCAATGCATTTATAGGCTTTCTTTTTAAAATGAGCTTTGTTTAATGTGTGCCAGGTATCTAGCTTGAAAAATTACTTATTCTGCCCATTTTAGTATTAATCAGAATTGCCTATGTATACACTGGAGAAATGCATCCACTGCAAAGAGGAGGGTAACTTCTTTAATGGTTGTTCTCCCAAGATATGGATGAATGGAAAAAATAGTCAAAGTGATCTAACAATAGGTGATCTTTTACAGGGCTCTTTTTCTTGAGCATCAGCCAGTGAAATGTATTCTAAGTACATATATTAATATCCTTTGTAAACAAGAAATTTGTTCTGAGCCAATGTAGGGGGTAAAAACATTTTACTTGGCATCACAATGTTCAGTTATAACTGGTTTGGAATTTTGACTATTTACAGACAAGTTACGGTGTGACTTTTCACAGTATGAAATTAATCACATTGACTGTTAAAAAAATAAAAGATTAATTGGTTTTATATAGTGTTGTATCATTTATTGTGGTAGCTGTTAAAAATAGATAACCAGAGGCTAATAGATGTTAATGGTCCCTTTCACTATTAAAAAATCAATGTTTCTTGGATACAGAATATCTTAATGCGTTCTTTTTGCTTAAAAGTGTTTGATTTGAAAATACCCAAACAAATAAGTCTGCATTCACAAATCATCTTTGTTTTACCAGCACTTGAATTTTCATGTCAAGTTTGATAAATATTTTCTGTGCAAATTAACCGTGCACTTCAAAAAAGGAGAAGACTGGGCATGTTACTACTTGTCTTCCAATAAGAGAAACAGATATTCAGTACTTATTTTTTTCTTAAAATATTATTTTACGTATATTCATGCAATTTTTTAAGGCCATATCATCTAGGTTAAGTAATCTTTCCACAGCTTTTATATATTTCTTTCAAACTTGTTGGAGAGCAGTTAGATTTTCAAATATAAGTAATTAAAATTGTAAGCTATTGAGTTATTGACCAATACTGAGCTATTAATCAAGCTAAAAAATTCTACAATCAGGGTTCAGTGCTCTGAAGCACTGTAAAATAATAGTATTTGTGTTCAGTGATGCAAGTAGCCACAATTAAGCAGTTCACTTGACAAATGAGATAGTTCGCTTTATTTTGCACTTAATTGAATTGTACATGCTTGGTCACCGTTGTCTCCTTCCCTTTAGTTTTGGTTTCTAGCCATTTAAACATACACATTTATTAAAGAGAGGGCAATTAAGTTGGTGTTGGCCATTGGCTCTAGAAATGCAGACATCAAGAGCTGTGCCTTAAAATGTTGTGCAGGGTAAAAATTGTTAATAACCCTCTAGAACAATTCTTAATTTTCTTAACAAAAAATCTGATGAGCATGTAGGACTGTCACTAACTTAAATCAAATGTGAAAATTAAAAAAAAAACCTGTAAGATGTTGATATTAAATCACTTTAACCAAACTGAAACATATAGACACTGTTTTTTCACATTTTATTTTAGTTAGCATTTAGTATTTGCATTTCAGCAGTCCTGTCTCACCTTGATGTCTTGTATCTTTTTCTTTCTATGTTTGCAGTCTGTTATGATTCTGAATTTGTAACATCTCAGTCAGTTTTGTTTGTTTGTTATGCTTGTTTTTAACAAACTGTGGTGTTGAAAACCTAAGTTCTGGGTTTCATATCAAGATCACAAGAAAGGCATTTTTAGTCTGGATGAGAGAAATGTGTTAATTAAATGCAAATATTTTCAGCAGCAGTAAGAAAATAGAAAGGTAATTGTAACATGGTGGTTATTTTTTCCAATGTCTCTCATTGCAAAAGGTGATCTCAAAAAACCTAGAATTCTCCGAAGCAATACGAAGTATTTAATTGCAAACAGTCACAGAATCCACCTAGGTTATAGGTATAACAATCCAACATGTATTTGTAGGTAAGACTGTAGCTGACACCAACAGACAGAGGATTTTGTCAGTCTCTTAGCTCTGATGTGTGAGGAGTTTTTTGTGACTAAGGAGTACCACATCGAGCTTGGGAGAAATAAGGCAGGCATACGACGTGTAGTGCAGGCTCACTGGCTTGCTGAATTATGTTTTGTGTGGCATGATGCCCATAGACTCTCAGTCAATTCCTTGCACAAGCATTTCACATTTGCTAAAGCCGTCATGAAGTTTTGGGTATGTGTCTCCCAGGAAGGCCCCAGAGAAGTGCACCTGCAGTTCTCTTTGGAAGTTACTGGGAAGACCAGATGTTCCTGCCCATATGGTTTCCCATTCACGGCAACAGAAAGCACTGACGGCACGGTGTTTCTCTTTCCATTGCAGGCCCTACCAGTGTGGTCACTGCTCCCAGTCTTTCTCCCAACCTTCAGAGCTGAGGAACCATGTAGTTACGCACTCCAGCGACAGGCCTTTCAAGTGTGGCTACTGCGGTCGTGCCTTTGCTGGTGCCACAACACTCAACAATCACATCCGGACACACACTGGGGAAAAGCCCTTCAAGTAAGTACTTGCAGCCAGCAGCCTTTGCCAGCTGAGATTAGAGAGGGACATGTATCGCTGCTATTCACGAGCATCACCGGTCTGTACCAGCACATGGCAGAGGTTCCCTTGAAAGCCAAGGTCAGACCTCCAGATAAATCTGTTAGTGGTGTGGCTAAAATCAGGATTAAACCAGGCGTGGTTTTGGGTGCCTTGCAAGCCCTGAGCAATTTTCTGTCTTCTGATGAGAACTTGATTGTTTTGATTAAATGACAAGCTGCTGCCAGAGAACCATAGCTGAAAATACACTCAAGACTGGGACAGGCTATGCTGTAAGAACATTAATATGATTCTTTGATGTCTATATGCTGAGGTAGATGGAGCGTCACATAAAAGCTAATTTGGATCTGGTTAAATATGAGGGAGAAATATGCATCTTTTTTAGTCTCAGAATCACTGCACAGGAAATGCAACTCTGGCTTGTGGCATAAGTTTGGTAAGATAATAAATAAATATAATAAATAATAATAGAATAAAAATAATAATAAATTGATAGTGTTCAGCTGTCCAAGATGTAAGAAAAAAAAAGAAGTCACTTGGTCAAGATGGTTTTTAATTAAACAGACTCTGCTTATTTCTGCAGTTTCTGTTTACTGAAATTAAAGCCAAGCACGCACCTGAGTTTCAGAAATTTTCCCTCTACACTCACCTCCAGCCATAGCACAGCTGATCCAGGTTGATTTTTACCTTCTGTTGTGCAAGACTCCACCTACATAACAGGAGGTGTTCTCCAAGACAGAATACACATTTTCCGTATTTGTGTCTGTGTCTTTGCTGAACTGACAGGCACAAATTTTATGGATATTGTACCTGGAACAATCTCACTTTGGAAGAAAAATAATGTATTTATATCAATGTATAATGTGTTGATATCACTTCTTTTGGAAGCTACCTGATGTTCCTAGGATGAATGGGTATAAGCGTAGAAGAAGGTGTGTGTCTCTCCCAGTTCTCCAAAGACTGTCTGTCCTCCCTCTGCTTTTCTCCATTTGTCTTTCTTTTCTACTTTTGCTGTACTGTGCTCTTGGTCTGGTTAATGTAAGAGAGCTCAGCCATGGGGCCTGTCAGAACCCCTCATAACAAGCTTGGTAGAGATACCGGTAGAGATGCTTTCCCTCCATATATGGTTGAAAGGAAGCATGGCCTCCATGCATGTCTCTGCTGGGGGCAAGAGGACAGCACCAGGAACCAAATACTGCATATCCAGTACAGAAGAGCTTGCATACCAGAAATCATGGCTGGGATAGTGTTGTAGGTGGCAAAACATGGAAACGCAGAGCATCTAAACATCAACTCCTCTAGAGACAGTCTCTTGAATGCTCAGAGCCCATAGAAAGTGAGCCAAAAATAGTGTGAGCAATCAGATTGATTTTATCTAGTTGCTGTGTAAATAGATTTTAGTAATTAATGGAAGAGGTTTCCGGGTCAAAATGGAAAATAGATTTCTTTTAATGTTAAGGTGTTACTTATGTGTAACCTTGTTGACTCCACTTAATTTTTTTCCTTAACATCCTGTTTTTGTCATGTTTTCAATAGATCTGCTATTTTGCCCCATTTAGAGTCATTATTTTTCACCTTTTGTTTAGTAATTTTTTTCTCCTTTTCCAAAATGGTCTTGACTACAGCACAATTTCATTTTTGAAAGGACTTAATGTTATGTACTACAATTAAGCAGTGGTCTGGGATTTGTTTGTTTGTTTTGCCCTGCTTATGCTGAAGTATTTAAGTATTCCGGGATTATCTGCCCATTCTTAAAGGTGCAGGGCAGAGCAACAAAAAATGTGGATGCTTTGTACTGCTTCTTTATGATGTATGGCATAATTTTATTCTTGTAAGATTTTTATTTAGTTTCTTCCTTAAGCTCAAGAAACAGTAGTACCAATTTCTCTCTGGAAGTCTTGTTTGACTATATGCAGTAAGCTGACTAGTAATTTCACATGAAGCTAAAACTGGAGCTGCAGATCTTCGCATCCCTGCTAGTCAGATAAGGGGACACATATGCCCTGATCCTGCAAGCTGTTCAAAAGGGCAGATTTACCTCCCATGCAGGACTGCTTGCATTTGAGAGAGGAGGGACAGAAAACTTATCCAGAAATTGGTCCACCCTCTCTGCTGGGGGAAAAAGAGATAGCTGCAGCTCATCTTGATGTCTCATCAGCTTTTAGATCCCCCTTTGAAAAGGAGGGGTCCAAGACCTGGTATTAAGTAAGCTTAGGAACAAACCTCAACAAACTCTGGTAAACAAGAACCGTAAATGGGACAAACAAGATTTCTGTCTCTTGATCATGCAATTTATTTTTTAAATACTTGTTTACAAAGGGATTTTGAGTGTACACTTATGAAAAAATGTGCAAAAAAGAAAAGTCCATTGAGATGGGGTTTCTGTACCTCAAAAAAGTCTCTATTTGTGGTAATGTACATATTTCTGTTGAATAGTATTTTTACTATTAGCAAGAACAACCGTGCACAGATAGTGCTAAATAACAGGCATAATTTTAAAGGTATTACTAAGTTCAATTTCATAAGTAAAAATGGGCAGTCAGCTGGACAGTTAACTTGCTTCTACTGTGAATGCAATCTCACTATTTCTAATGCAGTAAGGCAGTTATGTTTGTAAGTGGTATTTGGACAAATTACAGTGTGCATGGATTAAGCAGGCAGTGTCAGACACTAAGTGCATGTTTGTATGCATATTATTTTCAGAAGGTGGTTTTAAAAACAGTGAACATAAAGTGACAGTATTTTAAGATATTTCAAATTAATTGTTATTTAAGATGAAGTCTATGATTGGTTAAAAAGCTTTTTCTGTGAGAAGGCGCTTTCTTTGTAGGTCCTAGGTAACTTTGGATGTATGGTGGAAGACTTTTCTATTTGCTTTTCATTACAGATAACAATGCTAAGTGAGGTTATCTGTAGTCAAAGCTTTAGCTGCATTGCCTGGACTGCAGGTCCAGTTAGAAGGGATTTCTTTTCATGTCATCACAAGCTATCAAGTCAGCCTCACCACTGTAAAGTTTTTGTGTATTCTTATCTTACTGAAGTCTCCACTATGGCTGCTACTCTGGGAACAAATCTCTTAAGCAAATTAAAAGGAGGAGAAAAAGGAAAATAATTGGCCATCCCCATTTTCTTACATTCTTCCCCCCCAGTCTCTTCCATTTCAGCAAAATCAAGATTAGTTAAGGGACTTGCCTGCAGAATCAGGGTTATGCAAACATCTAATATTCAGGAGTCAACCAAAAAGAATTGGAGGAAAGATTCTTTCAGATTGGGATAACCCAGGTATTTTTCATTGTTTATTACCGAAATGCAAAACTGGGGAACATTAATTTCAGGTTGAATATAGATGTTGTACTTGCAGTGACATTTCAGCTTTGACCTGTTTTGGTTTTTTTTTTAACCCTTTCAAATTATTTTAAAATTTAGTGTTAAATGCAGTTCTTGAATGAAATCTTAAAATGTATATTTTGAAAATATCAAATGAAGATATTTTTTCCTAAAATAAACCTTCAGCATTTTCTTCACCCAAAGCCTTTCACAGAGGTTGACATAAATTTGGGAATTAAACCAATCCTGTCTATAATCCTCAATGTCAATGTTTTGAAAGCACTGTGAAGCAAACAAGCAGACCAGTGACAACGAGGGCTATCTAAGCAAACTCAGAAAACCCAGTACCTCAGAAATATCCAAAATGCATTGATATTCATATTGTTTGTGAATTTAAGAACTATTTTGTTTACCACCCCCACCCAAGCAAATCACACAGGGAAACCTTGTGGTAGAATGAAGTCTTGTGTTTGATGAGGTTGAATGTTGAAGTACATCATTACTCCTTACAATTAAAATGAAGACACGGACACACTGTAAAAAAAGACAACATAGATCCAGTTTTCACTGATGGCATCTAATTGTGTGAGGACTTTTAAATTGCTTCTTTGGATCTACATTGTGTCAGGCTGTTTAAATTGCTCTCAAATTCCATCAGATGGCTTAAGTGGAAATTAAGTGGTCTCTCAGTTAATAAGTATCATTATTGCCAATATTTGTATCTACACTTGAGGCTTAACCAAAAATTTGGTGTATGTCTAATAGCCAGGCTTGGACTCAGCCCCATGGTTACTTTGTGAGTGGTCACAGGAGAGGTGGACTCTTTTTCCTTTCTGACTGTTTGGGCTACTGTTCAACATTCCAACAAAACATTAAACATGTGTGGCTTGTAGTATAGAAACACGCACACAAAAACATGCTCACCAGTCTCATAGACATAGGTCATTGCAATGGTTATTCTGCTATGACAGCCTAGGAAAGGATGGTTGACAGAGGGAAAGAATACATTATAATTAAAAAGAAAAAATATTCCTGCTTTTCCTCCCATTCCTACCTACCATGAGATAGTTACGCTGACTGCTGTGACACTATTATCTTCACCTTTCCTATCAGTTTGTATCCGGCAACAACTTCTCTGGACCGCATTAAAAAGAGGAGTCAGGGGCCTAATACAGGTCCCTGCCTGTAAGCCAGGTACTTATATATCCAAAACTATAGTCCTGAAACACCATCCACACCCTTTGCAAGTGCCTAGAAAATACTAGGCACCTTGGGTACTATCTGAAGGTTACTCGGGTACATGAGAAAGCCAGGGGATTTAGATGCTTTGCTAAAGCCTTTATTCTGACTTTTGCCCAAGGACTGTATAGTGCAAACAGCACAGCCTGACCAGCAGCAACACGTGGCACCCACATCCCTCCTGTCCAAAGAGCAGATACTTGTAGCAAGAGATTTATTCTTCTCTGGTCTCTCTTCAGCATCCTTCTTTCCTGCGTCTGTATGAAAGTGTCCCAGAACAGCCTGTAGCTAGGAAGTTAGAGCACTCTCACAGCAGAAAGCGGCTTGTGGATAAAAGATGGGAACTTGCATTTTAAAGGAATACAGTGGGCTTTGCTCTATGCTTTCAAGAGCAGTGCAAGGTGCTGAGTGAACGCGGCGCTCAGGTCTAGCCTCCCAGGCAAGCTCCAGAAAGGGTAAAGAGGTCTGCCACAGCTTCATGCCCAGGGGTTTTAATGAGTAACTAACTGTCTTTTAATCACCTTATAGTCTTTCTCTGATTCACACATGGCCCCTAGGCATCCTGATATAGTATATTTGATTTATTTGGCCAGGCACTTAGAAGTCAGGTGTTGTCACACCTGATTTTGTAGGTTATTTTGCAACTGTACCACTTATAGCTTGGTTAGGCAAGGATCCAAGCCTCCTATTACTCAGCAAGCAAAGCGCTTGTCTTTGTAGACGTCAAAATAACAAAACTATCAAGTTCAAGTAGATGGCAATATCTCATACAGACTAAGTTAACTCCCCAGCCTTAAAATTGATTCTAATGCCTCTGTGATGGATATATATATATATGTATATAAAAATAATACAATAATTTGCAAGTTTGTCAGGCGATGAAAGGTAGTATATTTTGACACACTAATCCAGTAACTAATCAGTTTTCTAATAAACAATCAGCAGTACACTAATGTGTCATCAGCACTTCAGGAGCTCTGGAGAGTGGATGATCTGCACATAGACGTTAATGAATACCCCAAAAATCATTAAGTAATCAATACTTCTGAGTTATTTTCATTGAGCTGATAGGTCTGATACATTAAAGCTGACATTTTACATTTGTCAAGATCACAGTGCAGTTTTTAACAGTGGAACAGGCTGCTAAAAATATTCCATGAAAGACAATCAAAGAAACACAACTTAAAAAGTGTTGACATTTTAGATTGGTACAGTGGCTTGGATGAATGAGTCTGTAATGTCTGTGCTAAATGTTCCTGAAGCAGAACTTTCTTACTAAAAATTACTAATGTGAAGAACATTCCACAATTATGCATATGTGTATCTTTCTTTTCTCTTTTTTTTTTTTGTAAGCAGCTATATCAGTGACAGTTCACTTTCTATCATTCACATCAGTGAAGAGGGAAAGATGAATATGAATTAGCTGAGCTCTTTGTTTTCCTCACTTCTCCTTTGAAGGTGAAGAATTCATCGTAGTGATGCTTTTATGATAATCTTCTTTGAAGATAAAACATCACACAGCACCATTAAATCAAAGGTGGCTTTTGGAGCAAGCGCCATACAAGAAGAATCTGCTGCATCTGTATTTGCAACTCATCAAACACCCCTATCTAGTGTTCAGAATGCAAATTAAGAGGGCAGTATTTGGGAGATTAAATACAATAGATTCTCTTTCAGAGCAGGGATAGGGGATTCATTGCAAGCTAGCAATAACCCCCATACTATACCTTCCGAAATTCAATGGCTTTGTTAATTTGTTCACATGTTATTTTTGTTGCAGATTATGGTTCTCTAAAGAGAGGACAGGGTAGAAAGAGAGACAACATAAAAGACAGTGAAGCAAACACTGGTGACTGTTATGAGTTCTTGCTCAACCCACAGATTTCTCAAATAATGTGGATGTTTTCAGATAATTAAGTAAGCACTAACTCTATGTGCCTATTTAAAATGAACCCCACTGCATGGTCAGATCAGAAAAACAAGGAGTTTTCTCTTGTTCTAGCACTGAACAATTATTGCTTTGCGATTTCCTCCAATAGGCAATTGTGGATTTTAAATTAGCAGAAGGTGAAATTCTATTTGTCATCAATTTCTCCTAGGGGTTACAGAGCAGAAAACTGCAGACAAGCTGCTTCTTTGATGGCTCACTCCTAAAAATCTCTTTTTGTTCTTTATCTATTTGAACTGACAGTGATCAGAGCTACAGCAGGACAGGCCTCTCTGGAGAAATCACCTTCCCCCTGTCTATTGACAGATTCCTCTGTTCTGAATCAGACAGGCCTTGTCCCATCATAGGCATCAAGGCCTTGGAAGTAGCCACCAATTAAACCTCTTGAGCCAGTAAAATCTGAAGCCACTTTTGAGTGTCTGTTCTGATTAGGCAGGATGAGACAAAGCCCATCACCCCCCCAGAGCAGCTCCCTGGTCTCAATTTTCTCTCTTGCCTTCACCAGGTGCGAGAGGTGTGAGAGGAGCTTCACACAAGCCACCCAGCTGAGTCGACACCAGAGGATGCCCAATGAGTGCAAGCCAATAACAGAGAGCACAGAATCAATTGAAGTGGATTAACTGATTGACTGGTTGGAATTAAACTGCAAGGAAAGTCATGATTAAATGTCACGGACACTTAAGCAAAACCAAAGATTTCCTCTGAGCAACTTTCAATCAGTCCCAGAAAACCAAAAGCAGTAATAAAATAAGTAAGATGTTAAGAGATATTGATCCTGGCGTGGAAGTGAGACCAGGAAAGAGATTATTTATTTATGACTAGGGATGAGTCTTATTTCAATTGACAAGTTACTTGGGACTGTTAACATTTCAAGTCCCGCCATGTATTGCTTTAATTCTAAAAGCCTTTATAATTGTTATTTAATGCCAAAGTGAGGAATCTCAAGGGTTCTTCTGCCCATAGTTATGACTGAGAATGCACATGGACTTATTGTTGCACCTTTTTTTGTAGCATGACTCAAAGAACCCAGATATAATCCATACATTTGGCTGGGCTGGACTAAGTTGATCTTGACGTGGCTATAATAGAAATTGCCGTGTGGGATGGGAAGTGATCAAGAGCTATATCTGGGTCAGTGTCAGCCTCCTCAGACCAAAGGGCATTTCATTTCCACAGTCTCATGCCTCACACTGTGTGCACTTTTTCATGCAAGTAGTTTCATTCAATAGCATTGCGTTGGCATAGATATTCTGGAAAAAAAAGAAAAAAAAAAAAAGAAAGTTGTGTATCTGCAAATATACTTTATATAAAGAAGCCAGTAGGAAAACTATGTTAAACTAATAGAGCTTTCAAATTCAGTCTAATAGCTATGGAAGACCGAGACAGTAGAAAGTATTTTAAACGTTTAAGATTCCTGTCTATGTGTAAATTGTATTATGAGGAGCAAAAAACCAAGATGATGTTTTTTGTTTGGGTGATTGATTTAATGGCTTGCTGATTTCTAGGAAAACTGATCAGAAATCCAAGCTGTAGTCCACTGATATTTTTACTCTGTTGGTTTGGATCAAATCGAAAATGCTCCTGCATTAGATGAAACTGTCAACATACTTGGGCTGAGCTTCAAAACAAAAGCTAAATCTGAACTCAGATATTTTGTAAATGGCTTGGAGGCTTCATAGTATTCACTTCATGGAAATTTGCCTGGTGAATGAAAGCAAGCCAACTATTCCCAACATCAATGTAAAAAGCTCAGATGTCATTACATTGGTTCAATTTAACAATTTCCATATTGGCTTTTTTCAAGCTTTTATCTTTGATGTATTTCAGATTTCATGGTTTTGTCTAATCAAAGAATGGTTTTCACTTTTAGAGACCAGCAGTGTTTGTTTATATATCGATTGTCTCGATGCTAGAGCTGTAGTTTGATAAAAATGTAAAAAAAAAAAAAGCCAAAAAAAACAACCAACAAACCAACAACAAGAAGAAGCAAAACCTAAACAGTTCTGAGGTCATGCTATATCATAAGGTAGAACTGCAAAATAAATTTGTGGAGTTTATGGGGATTAAAACAGATTCATTCAGTTTTGCACCAAAACTGACGTGCTGGGTAGCTCATAAGGGCTCAGTTGATTATATTAAATATTTTAAAAACATTTATGGGGATGATTTTAAATATGTAGAGAATTAAGTATCCAATTCTGTAAAGGGCTAGACAGAATCAGCTACAAATTTAATAACAGGTTCAGATCATTTATGAATTCTGCAGAGAGCTCAAGCAGAAAAAGAGCATACAGTAAAATTCAACTACATTTAAAAGGAATTTAAAAGCTAAGACATCCTTACTTCAGGATGTTTGTTTATTATATTGCAGAAACTACACTGCAGAATCTGGAGTTTCCAAAGCTTTGCAGGGAATTACTTCAGGAGTTACTGTATTTGTGTTTGGCCATTAAAAATGTAAAACTGTGGAAAAAAAAGACTTTTTTATCGTTGTTCTAGCAAGTACCAGATTAACTCATAAAGAGGCTTTGGCCCTGTGAGTTTTTCAGCTCTGTTTCTCAGTGCAGAGATATGGGGAGTGAACAATTCTGTCGTCACTTGCCTGATTTTATCCTCCAAGCTACGAGAGGTTCTTAGCTACTATGTAAATGTGTGTGTTTGTTTGTTTATTTGTTTGTTTGTCTGTTTTTTAGGTTCAAAGAAGCATGGGAAGCTGGGTAGGAAGAATTGTAACTTAAAGGTGACTATTTGAATATTGCTTTGTTCCTAGCAAGGCTGATCAAACAGAAAAAAACAAAATCTAATCCTAAACTCTTCAGACCCTCATACCTGGTAGTTCACGCCTTCCCTTATTTAAGAGACTTCATGTAAAGTAACATCTTGATGGGGCACCAGCTTTTAGTTAACATTTGAACAGCAGCTGTAGATCATTTCTGCAAGCAAATATATATTCTCACGAAAAAAAAAAGGAATTATAAATACAGTAAGTGGGAAAAGAGGTATGTCACGCTCTGAAAAGCAAATGTGAGCTATCTGTTAGATCACTGACTTGTGCTGTTGTATTATCTAACTGTGCTCTTCTGTTCAGCGGTGTGGTTAGTGGTAGTGCAGAGCACTCAGCCTCTTGCAGAAAGGGATTTTTGTTTGTATCCTATAAAGCAAATAGCACGTAAGTATGTGCTTACAGATATTGCAAGTTCCCTGCTGAATACAGATAGGCTTACTCATATGTTTTTAATTAAACATGTGTCTAAATATTCTCCTGAATGGGTGTGAAGTAAAGATCAATTATTTCAAGATTTTACTGGATTTTTTAAAAAAAGCACCAGAGTAGGATTTCTGCAGAACTTACTTTTTTTCTTCCAAATAATTCTTTCTTGTGTAAATCACTATGTTGTGCCAGATACCTAAGCACAATTTCTGTTATTGTATTATTCTATACATGGCACTTTCACAACAGATTTGGCAGCATACAAAAGCAATTCAGTGAAAACCCATGATTTCATAGTGGCGTTTTCTCCACATTTGGCATTCTGTTACAATATAGCAAATGTAAAACTAACATGGACAAGCTAAAATACATCCAAGGTTTGGACTAAACAGAATCTAATTCCTGTCTGCACTTCCCAAATGCTGAGTGAGTTTCTGTTCATGTATTGACAGAACAACCATACATTTAGGTCTATTATGAATACAGTATGTGTTTGCACACAGTAAACTGAAGCAGTAAGTGTAGTACGATTATCTTTAAATGTAGTGATTATGTGCCTGCCATTTCAGAATTTCTGAAGCACTTGGCATCTCTGTTTTGTAGTCTGGTGAATAAATACAAGCTTGTATTTTTTATTTTTTTGTCCAACCCTGAACATGTTGGAAGTCATATTTAAAAATTGTGCCTAGTTCTTATTTTTTTTCAGTGTGGAATTAAATTTTATACATTCATAGAGTTATTTCTTTCAGAAAGACGTTAGGTCCTTTATGAACCTGCAGTTATAGACCCCAAATATGACCTTTTTTTAATACAATTTTATTGTCTTCCCATGAAAGAAAGCTGAGTTGAGAATAACATAATAATTACAGCACATTACATACTAGAAACTTACAAGCAGAGATGTGTATATCTTTTCTTTTGGTAACATCATCTCTCCTTTTAATTACTATTTATTATTTGTATGGTGCCATTACATTATGTGATGCTGTCTTATAGCTGACAAAATGGTGTGATTTCAGATGAATAAATAAGTGAAAGTCCAAAAGTAAGTCCTCATTGCTTTTGAGAGTCATCAATTGCTATGATTTTTTTTTTAAATTACAGTTAGAGCACTCTTCTGTTCCATCCAAGTCCTTTCTGTGGATAAGGTTCCAGAAAATAAAATATTCTGGGACGGCATGAAGTCTTTTTTTTTATATTTTGTCTAGATTTTGGAAGTTTTGATGTCATCAAACCAATCTGAAAAGTACATAGATCCACCCAATAGATGTAGAGTATGCTGAAGGGGTCCTGTGTTGTAATAAAAATAATAATGACACTGTAATTAGAAAGGTAAACAACTTGCTTGCATTTTTTAAACTTCATAAAATTGCATCTTTTTTTACTGCAAAGGACCAACCAAGTCATGCATGTAGCTGTATTCTTGTGATATCAACTGTAAAGATTACATTGTGTTTAAATGAAAACAACAGGCACACATTTAAAAAGAAGACAAAGAAATGTAAATATATTTGATTAATAAAACATTTCTATTACCATATCCTAAGCCTTTGGTTTATGTTAAGATTACGTATGGAATTTTGTGCATGCTATGCAGAAAACCAAATATGCTTAAAAGCGTGTGCATTGAAGGCAGCCTCAACTAATCACAGTGCCTTGCTGTCGTTTTCATTATGAACTTCCAAAAGGGGTTTGCAGCTCAGATGATGCAAACTGAGTTGCAGTGAGAAGAGTGTGAGATCAAGTTCAGTTTTCTTGGTGACTGGGTCCCAGTACTCCTATTGACGTAATGCTGAGAGCACAGTGCAGTCATATACTCAAGCAATTTCTCACCATGTTTTGGAATTTGTTTGTACAGGTTTATGATGCAGATCGTGTCATATTGTAACCAAGTTTTTCTATTCTGCTTACTAGAGTGTGGGGTTTTTATGGCCTGAGTCTAGTTTAGTTACCTGAATCCTGATTTACAAGGATCACCATCTAGTGGACTAAGACAGAATTTCAAAACTCCGGTTGATGTGATGTCTGAGCTAATTTTTTAAAAATAATTCTAAAACCAAAGCTAAAAGCACTAGCCATGCTCCATTGCAAGGGACCTTCAGTGCCTTTTTTAACATTATTTCACTGCCATTGTGTATGTCAAAGAGCAGCGATTAGTTCACTAAGTCACCCTGTGTTCCACTTGAAAAAATACCACTTGAGTATGAGAAAAATATGTCAGTTTCTGTCATTTTTCATGTTGTATGACCTTTTACATAAGCACCAGAACCACCACGGTAGAACAATTGTGCAAAACTACTGTACTTGAGAAAATACTCAGGTAAATTGGCCAGCAGACTGCCTGCTGGTTTGCAAGTAGCAGGGATAGTCAATCATTCGAGGCAAGCTTCTATACATCCAAGGAAAATT